CAATCGTTTCTGCAGGGTAACAATCTCTTATATATATATATTTTTCATTTGGTGAAGGTCCAGTAAATACAACTTGGGACTCTAGAACTTCCGCAGAAGACATGGAAGAAATGTGGAATCATCCCTATGTGAGCAAGGAGTGGAGCAAAACAGGGGAGAAAAGAGGCCATGTACGGTTTTCTCATGATACTGAAAAGAGACCATATCTTTCTCGGGTAGAACTGAGGGTAAGAATGCACGGTCAGTATGTGTAGAACTGTAAAATCTAGTAAGAGTTGTTGGATGCTTCCAGTCTCGGAGATTATGCCATTTGCTTCAATTGTTAAAACTAGCTGTGTTTTCCAGCTTAAACTATCCATACTAATTGCAGCTTGTAAACTCCATTTTACTTCTAATTTGAGTGTTTTCATTTTGGGAACTTGTCTGCCTGTTACATCTGTTGAAGGGTTAACGTATAACTTTTGAGTTTTGATGGAAACAGGTTCCTTAACTTAACTCATTACTAGAGTTGTTTGGATATTAATTTTCTGCAAGTTCTTAATTTCTAAATTATCCGAATTTCTGACATACCCATCTTGTTGCAGGCAGTTGCAGAAGTAATTGTTTCAAAATACTTTAGCACAAGAGGACTGAAACCTGTAAGTGGGTACATCTCTTTTGAGCAAGAAGCTACTGAAGTGATTACAGTTAAAAACGATACAATGTTATTTTTCGTAAAAGCTCTGCAGAGAATGAAGAGATATCTACGAACGTAAAAGAGAGCGGTTAAGCTCAATTTTGGACAATTAAACAGGAAAAATTGGATGTGAAACTGTAATCACCTTTATAACTCTAGAGAGATTTGTTGATAGAAAGAAATTTCAAATTTCATGCCACACCTGGCGATTTTAGTATATCGTATTTGTTAGTTTACAATCTAAAGGAATTATTTTTTCGACCATCTAAAAGGATTGCTAGAAGAATGCTTGTGGTTGTTCTTCCTCTTCCACCACTTGGTATAAAGAGGAAGCGTAATGAGGATATTTCCTTGTTATTGCAGACTGTCCTGTGTGCTGTTGCTGAGATCGTGACCATGCGTTTTGTTGAGGGAATTGGACAGCGTACTGGATTAATGGGAATTGACTATCCCACGGCTCGCTGGCTTTACAAGTATGTGACCAATACCTTCCTGTAATAAAATGCCATTTTGGTTTGGTCTGGTGTAGTTTACTTTGCATTTTCTTAATTCTTTAGCAATATGGTCTCACTTTGGCCAAGTTTCACTAATTTTAAACTTGCAAAATCTATTCGGTCAGAGTTGCTTAACTGAATTGACAGTTGAAGTAAGAGTTTTAGTACTAATGCGTCTTCCAAACGTGAAAACTAGGGACTTGGGATACAAGACTTACAAAGTGGAGTCAGTTGAGGATCTTACAAAGCCATTTGTTTCCATGTACTTTGGCGCAGCCTATGTGGCTTGGCTATCAGAGTACGAGGGAAGGTAAGTCCTCTCTCACTGAATTGGAACTATGGATTACCACTAATATATAATTGATCGATTTGATTACTTTTACTGTTAGAGAAAGGAGTCTCCAGTTTCTTGTCCAGGCTTATCTTGCTGGACCCCAGAATGTGAACCTGCAGGAGACTGGTCCTATGTGGCTTAGATTTGAGGAAGCACTGAGCCGTTATGAAGATTTAAAAAAGTAGGCATTCATTAGTTATAACACTATTTCTGACTGACTGACCAAATGTCTGATGAAGGTGGTTTGTATTTTCAGGGAAGCAGCAGGTAGTTGTAATATTTTGTGAGCTCCAACTATTTCACCAAATCCTTGAATGGTTGCGTAAAAATATAGAAAGTAAATATTTGCAACAGCACCACCACTCCAATGTACAATATTCCATCCAGTCTTACATTGTTATGTAAATTTTCCTTCTATGTATTTATTTGTACCGCTCTAAAATATAATTTCATTTACTATTATGCTCAGAAAATGAGATTCAATTGATTTACCTACTGTATGTTCAAATAGAGCTTTTGCTTTATATATATAGTATAATACTGTAATAAATAAAAAGAAGGTCTAGAGACATTTTAAAAATTACCTTTTAAGTCATGGGTTGAAATATTTTATCTTCTCAATTCTCTTATACTATATAACTAGTGAAATTGTCCGTGCTATGCGCGGTATATATAAATTTATTTAATTGATAAAAAATTGCAATAAAAATATAAATGTAAGATATACATATGTAAAATATAAAAATCTTAAGAGGCGTATGGAACTCTCAGGAGTCATTCCTAAGCTGAAAGCAAAGACTTGCTCTGCATTACCTTCACACAATATTCAACTTCAACAACCTTACATGCAATTGCAATATTAATATCTTTATTTTCTCTTCTACATTAAGCTTCCTGTATAACCTTGTACAATACGTATGTAATATATTTTCTAAATACAATCATGCCTTCGTTATTTTCACATCAATAGAAATTTTGTCCGTGCCTTGCACCGGAACTCACCCCCTAGTTTACATATTAAGAGACACATTTGGTCTCAAAAGAATTTTAGAGAATTTTAGTGATTTTTTAGTCCAAGAGATGGCAATCTTAAAAATCAAAAAGTAGCAATTAGGGGAAGATTACAAATGGAAGAAAGAATTACATGTCATGTTTAAATAAAATCATAAAAACTAATATCATATAAATCTATACTATAAAAAGAAAATGGAAGTCCGAAAATTGATATAACAACTAAATCAAAGTTGTGTTAATGAAAATAAGATGTAGATTTAGTGATCACAATAATGATTTGCGCTTGTAGTCATTTTTAAAAAAAATATTCGATATTCAAAAGATATTCGTTCATGAAATTATAGATATTTGTCCACACATTAGCTAATTTGTATTGCAAAATGCCTTTTAAAGAAGGAGATTGAATCAATATATGATGCTCCCAACATAGTCCTTGAAGAATTTTTTGGTTTGCGGACAAAGTTATTTCAAAATTATAATTCTATCTAAATTTATATCTCAAATAAATAAATTATAAATTTAATTTCAACTTTGATCCTGATATTCTACCTTATTCATGTAACAAACGAATGATTTATAACAATTGTCAAATAAGAAAGGAACATATTAAAACTAAAAAAGGAGGAGAAAAACAAATCATAGCTAACAATTCATTAATTACAAAGGTAAAGATAAAAAAAGAAAGAAATGTATATAGATTTCTCGCCACACTAACTTCAGAAATTTATATATCTAAACAAAAGGTTTAACTAACATGCTACTAAGCATAAGAACTACGTTTGTACAAAAAAAAAAAGTGTAAGAACTACGTACTATAAATTTATTGAAAAGGAGAAAAGAGCTATCATGAGAATAACGACTAAACATTTAGATATGTAAAATATCAATATTAAATTTATGTCTATAACCTGCTTCAAAAACTACCTTGAAATTACTTGTACTTGAATTGTAACAAATTCTGCAAAAAAATTCAAAGAATACGAAAATAATCCACAAGTCCTATTTCACTAAAATAAATGTGTGGAAGTTTTGGTTGAATTTTTGATATTTGAAGAGCTTCTTGGCCCCTTCTCCTCTCTTAAACATAACTCTCAGTTGATTCTTTTGTCAAATACTGATGAAAATCATTCTTCGTCGAGCAAAATCATTCTTTCTTGATCGGAGATTGGCTCGCACAATAAAGATCTAAAAAAATTAGCAATATGAAGAATGTTGTTATGAATTTGAGTTTTGAATAGTGTTCTTGCAATTTTCTTATTTTCAAAATATATATATACACAATTAAATACTACTCACTCTTAATAAAAAAAACGGACAATTAAATATTACTTTTTAATACAATAAATCACTATTAGGCCAAGACAAAATAAAACCGTAGAAGGTTATAACTAAGCACGTAAATGTTTTAATTGGATTTGGGAGAAGGCCAAAAGACATGTCATAATTGGGTTGTGACAAGAAGAAGGCAAAGGGTTGTTATAACTTATGATGTACCACTTTAAATTTAAATTAACAATAAATATGTGGTAATTACTTTCAATTAGATGGTAAAAATAATTATTTTATTTGATAGGAAAAACCTAAAAAAAAAAAAATTTTAAAAAAGAAGAAAATAGATAAATAGATTTCTTGGCCTTAGAGAGCGCCACATCAGCATGTTTGATATCCACCTTTATATATATAGATTTGTTGATTCCTTTGTATTTTTATTATTATCTTTTTGTGGTTCACTGCGTGGCAAAATTGGAATTCATTATCGTACTATAATAGTATTAAAATTTGCCTCGTTACAGTGGGTTTAATAATGTATTAAAATTTTATTCTGACACCATCTAGGCACAAATGCGTAAGGCGTTGATCAAAAAGAAAAAAAGAAAAAAAAGGAGAAAATAGATTTCTTGGCCTTAAAGAGCGCCACATCAACATGTTTGATATCCAACTTTATATATATATATATACAGATTTTTAAATGAATTATGAAATATTTATTACTCCCAAATTTTTTAAATGAGCTGTGAAATATTTATTACTTATGAAGCTGCACAACAATATGTGGATCTAAGAATTAAAAATCAGTCCAAATGGGAATTGGGAATGGAGCTAATAAATGAGTGATGAGTTAAAGATGCACGAATTCCACTATCCAATAAACAAAGAAATATTATCCTACCGCTATTCTCCCCTGTACGAAATCAATTTTATATTTAGTTCCTAATTAATTATAATGTATATTTATTATTTTCAAATGAGTGATATGATAAAATTCTTTAAAGATGTGCAAAGTCAATAATGAACGAGTATTGTTGGACAGAGGGAGTATATTAGAAATAAAAATATTATATTTGTCTAGTACTACTAGTTTTATTTTTTAATATTTAAATGAAATAATCATATATAAAATTATTTTTATTATTCAGAGAAGAATAGATTTGAGTATTACATACGAAGTGAGACTAGAAAGAAAAAATAATTAATTATAATTTAAAAGAAGAGGTTAGGGGTTTGAGGCAAATTTGGAATGATGCCGGCCGTCAGTGAATGAAGAATAGATAGAGATAGGGACAGAGATGGGAAGAGATGTAGTAGTATAGTGTAATGAGTGAGATGAGAGTAGATATTCAAATGTTAAAATGGCGCTGAGTATTTCCTTAATTCTTTTTTGTGTCTTGGACTGACTTCCATTTATGCAATACATGAATGATGATGAGTTTTCCCCTTTCAGGTTTTGAGTTTGGATCGCATTATTATATTCTTCGCTTCAAAGGTTTGTCTCCTTCACATCAAGCCTATGCATTTGCTACATCCTCTTGAATACTTGTAACAACTTCTTCAACACAATCCAGTTTTCTGACACAATAATCTGGAATTTTGAGCAACAACCTTCTGCACTAAGATTTAGGACTTATCTCTTCACTGCAATGTGAACGTAAATTTAAAATTATTAGAGGGCATGGGCTAAGTGCACGAATTGAATGACATACATACATACCATACCCTCAAGTAAATTAGAAAAACTGAAAACATCTAAAGCACAAGCTAAACGGGGAATATCTGTATTAGTTATCACTGAAAAAGCTTATGTAAGAAAACTCCACTTCTTCTTAACTTTCACTAGTTTGTACTCTGTTAATAATTTCTTTGATTTCTGTTAATAACACCAAATCTCCTCATATACAATTCTTTTATTCCTTTTGTGCAGCATTAACAAGTGTACTTAGAGGGTTTGTCGCTTGAAAGAGAAGTTTCCTTTCATGAAATAATTGAGATTCGAATCTTGTTAGAGCAATGTATTTCAGTAGCTAGGAATGTCCATCCCTTCCACTGCATATTTCTTGGGAAGCTTTGGATAAACTTGTTCTAAGCAAAGTGTTTGATATTTGCATTTAGGTTCATGGTGATCCTTTAAAGACGTAGCTAAGTAGTCTGGCATCCATATCTGTTACCATTGTGGTTGAAGTTATAGGGCCTGTGGTTTAATATGCTATGGAACAATCAAACCATCAGAACTGTAGTCACTTTGCTTCTGCTCAACAGTCAAATGCAGAATTTCAACCTGACCCTCAGGTTCTTACAATGGACCCTCCAGATCATACACATCATAATTTAAAGGCTCCAAACGATAATTGTTCCGAGGCTAAGCCTGTGCTTAATTTCTCTCTACAAACAGGAGAAGAGTTTGTACTTGAGTTCATGCGTGATCGTGTTAATCCCGGCAAAAATTATGTTCCCAGTACTTCGGGTGATCCTAGTTTTCCGCAAGGTCACTTGGAGCTAAAAGGCATCGTAGGCATCAGTCATACTGTATGTGAAGATGGTTCAGACACTTCCATGCTAGCGATGGTTGAAAAAGGTCCAAAAGAATTTGAGAAACACGACTCTTCCTTACATGATGACAAAAATTACAATGGGTCAGTGGTATCAGTGCAACAAGTATCATCAGATTATAATAGTTTTGGCTCTCTTATGTGTACCTCATCTGGAATATGTGATGATTCTGTGGCAAAGCTTAAGGCAATGTGTAGCTTTGGCGGTAAAATATTACCTCGGCCTAGTGATGGGAAACTCAGGTATGTTGGTGGGGAAACACGGGTTATCCGCATCAGGAAGGATATTACATGGAAAGTATTGTGGCATAAAGCTGTTGCAATATATGATCCAACTCATATTGTAAAATATCAACTACCTGGAGAGGATTTTGATGCTTTGGTTACTGTGTCCTGTGACGAGGATTTGCAGAATATGTTGGAGGAGTGCAATGTCCTAGAAGATGGAGATATTTCAAAAAAACTTAGGATTTTCCTGTTTTCCATCTCTGACTTGGATGATGCTCATTCTAGTTTAACGAATTCGGATGCAGATTCTGAATTTCAGTATGTAGTGGCAATCAATGGCTTGGAAATGGGATCAAGAAATAGCTCAACTTTGCATTATCTAGGTTCTTCTTCAAACAACTTAGCTGAGTTGGATGGAAACAACATTGAGGACTCGAGTAGATCTGTTATGGGGTTTATTGGTGCGAGTAACTTACCTTCAGCTGGTTTTGATGACTCATCATTGATCACTAAATCTGCTAATCCTAATGTCCCTATCCCCTCCAGTGCTTATGACATTGATTTACGCATTCATTATGGGCAGAAGGAAAATTGTGATAACAGTAAGCAGCAGCAGTTCCAATTTGGTTTCAATTCTAATTCTCATTTCATAAATAATATTGAAGGTCAAGGCTCCCAAACACAAGCAAAACAATATGGACCTGCTATGTATAATAAAGCTTTTGTTCCTGAGTCTGTCACTTTAGCAGTTGATTCAACAGATTTAAGCTTCTCTGATCCTGTTCCACCAACTCAGAGGGGTTTCTGTTCTATGCAAATTCCAAGAGGGCAGGTAGAGTTGCTCAGCAGGTTATCAAAGTCGGATGATTCACACAATTCACAGTTTCTTGCAACTCATTCACGTGCAGATTTTTCACAACAAGAAATTCTTAAAGAATCCATTGACAAAATGCAAAATCGGAACATGAACGAGCAGCTTGTTTCTACTGAAAAGTCATTATGCTGTGCTCCTCAAACTGCAGCACATGATCTTGGAGTGCCTCTGAATTTGAAGCAGGTTATTCCAAATGCTGCAAATATGAAAAATGTTGTGCATGTGGATCAGGTTCCCGTAGCTAATCATCAAACAGTATGCACGGACAATAAGTATACGAATTTCTTAGTCAAGCGGACAGAGGATAGAGGATCAAGGCCAAACCCACTGCCCCACGTGGATGCTGAGAATCACCATGAAGATGGGGGGGATATTCATCTTAAAATTCATCAGGGTGATAGGGATGGCAGTAACTCTAACGAGAAATCTCAACCTTCAGATTGGACAGGGAATTACAGAGAGTGTGTTCTTCAAGGGGAACCATCTGTTGTGTTACCCAGGTCTGAGCAAGGAGATATCTTGATTGATATTAATGACCGGTTCCCTCGTGATATCCTATCTGATATATTTGCAAAAGCTATACTTTCTAATAGTTCATCCGATATTTCTCCAGTGCAGCAGGATGGAGCTGGTATGAGTTTAAACATGCAAAATGAGGAACCAAAGCACTGGTCATTTTTTCAAAAATTGGCAGGGGATGAATTTGTTAGGAAAGATATTTCGCTAATTGACCAAGATCACATTACATTCTCACCCAATCTCCAGAAAGTTGATGAAGAGCCTCCTTCAACAATCAACTTGGATCCGCAAAGAGATAGTGGTGGGGATGGTCCCAAAGAGCTGCCTCATGCACTTGGTGATGTTGATAGTCAACTTCAATTAGGGTTTGGTGCAACCCAGACAGAAGTTAGCGAGGGCATCCATGATGATGTTATGATGGATAAATCTAAGGTGTTAGACATCGATTCTGAGGTGCGTTTCTCTGCCAATATGTTATTTAATAGAGCCTCTCTTAGTTTATATTGCTTGCCTAAGAATTCTTAAATCTCTTTTTCTCTTTAGGATGGGTTTAAAAATGTTGGACTGCCTCTAGGTCGTACACTTGCAGAAATTGACATCAACTCTCTGCAGGTAATCTTTCAAATTTTTCATTCTTAAATCTATATATTAGTGAGGCACATAAGAAATGCCTAATTTATGCGGCTCTTGCAACCTGTAGGGTGGTTATTGTGATGAAAACTACTAACAGTTGTAAGTTTGGATCTAATTTCTTGTGCCGGAATTTTCTATTTGCACCAGTCTGGTGTAGTTTAAATGCTGGCAATTATGGATTCAGGGAAGGAAATAGATATGTTCCTGGAGTAAAAAGGCTGGGAGATGAAAGATTTCTGGGTTCTCGTTAAGGGAGGAGAAGCAGGGGACGACTTACCTTTCCGTTCAGTTGCATGCTATTACATGCAAGAAGGTGCAGTTTAGGAAAGAACTAGATATTGTCATTGACGTTAAAAGGCTGAGAAAGGAAATGAGTTTAGGTAATCCTGAAGGGAGGAAAGGAAGGGAACATAATGTACTTTCCACTGTGGGAGAGCAGTGATATGTCTAACTACGAATATTCTGTACATTTGCTAGGATAAAAGTTTGGGTAGTCAGCAACTGGAAGCTTTTCATGTGCTAGGGGAGAAGCTTCAAATTCATTGAATTTTCATTCCTTGCCTATTGCTCAGATACTGAATTGATACGGTCTCTTGGATATCCTACCATCGCTTTACTGGCCCTCTTATTTCTCACTGTCAAACATACCACTATAAACTGGGAAGACAAGTAGGTGTAGGATCTGCTATGTCATACATGCCAGCAATTCATTTCCATGAACTCTTTGCTTAAGAAGCCTAAGCTTCATAATTTGTACTAAAGAAAAGGGGGGAGTGGACAAAGGAGTTCCAATAGTCCTCATTTTCACGTGGCTTACTTGCAGATCATTAAGAATGAAGACCTTGAGGAACTGAAAGAACTTGGTTCAGGTACATTTGGCACAGTGTATCATGGAAAATGGAGGGGAACAGATGTTGCCATTAAGCGGATAAAGAAGAGTTGCTTCACTGGGCAATTATCGGAACTAGAGAGACTGGTAACCTTTCTTAACTACTACTGATCCAAGCGGGTCTCCTCTTCTTTCTCTTCATAGGTCTAGTGCGTAAAGCATGTGTTAAACTCTATTTGATTAGCTACTTATATCTTCCCACTTTCCAGGCCATAGAGTTCTGGAGAGAAGCTGAGATTTTGTCAAAGCTTCACCACCCAAATGTTGTGGCATTTTATGGTGTGGTGCAAGATGGACCAGGGGGTACACTAGCTACTGTGGCGGAGTACATGGCTGATGGTTCACTAAGACATGTTTTGATCCGCAAAGATAGGTAGAACCCCACTAGTATTAGCTCTTAGATGTTTTTCACTCATTCCAAACAAATCAATACCTGGATCGTTAGTTTCTCCATGAACACGCAAATTAGTATTCACTCTCCTATTTTGAGTCTTGTTCCCCTGTTATGATATTATACTCGCCTTTTACAGGCATCTTGATCGTCGTAAACGACTCATAATAGCAATGGATGCGGCATTTGGTATGGAGTACTTGCATTCTAAGAATATTGTGCATTTTGATCTGAAATGTGACAATTTGCTGGTGAATTTGAAAGATCCATCGCGACCAATCTGCAAGGTCTAATCGTGATATTATTAGTTTTTGATTACATGTTCTTAACCTTTTTTTTTCGTTTTTTCTTTTTTTCTAATGATATTGAATTATCTATCCCAAAAAAATGTTCGAGTTAAGATTTCCTAATAAAGTATCTACCAGCAAGGCAGCAACTGTAAAATCAGTATCTGATATTGTTGTGATGAACTTGTTAGGTAGGTGATTTTGGTTTGTCAAAGATAAAGCGGAACACCTTGGTTTCTGGTGGTGTGAGAGGAACGCTACCATGGATGGCTCCAGAGTTGCTAAATGGTAGCAGCAGCAAAGTTTCTGAAAAAGTAAGATGCCATATCATATTTCTTTATTTATCTCACTTTAGGAAACTGAGAATTTCAAGTCTGGCTGTGTTGAACCAGGCGTTTTCTTTTTTAATCTTTAACTTGTTCTCCGTCTGTCCCTATTTATGTGGCACACCTTCCCTTTTAGTCTATCCAATACCTTTTTATATTTAGAAACTGCTGAATTTTAAATTTCAGTTTTACCTTAATGAGACGATTTATATCCACATAAATGTCTAAGTCTTTTTTTTAGACCACAAATTCCGAAAGCCTTCGAGATAATTCCAGATGGAGTAGTATCTTTTATAATTCAGAGATACCCCTCATTTCAAGGAAGAGGCATATCTTTTTTAACGAATGAGAAGCCTGCACAGATTACTATGGGATTTCGAGGACCGCTTAAGTTCAAAACTGTATGTGCTGTACTATTGCACTTCTTGGTCCTTGGAAAAAACAATCCTGTGCAATTTCACAATTTTATCGCTTTATAAAATGATATCCGTTCTCCTGTGTTAATTTTGATATTTTACTTAAACAATAGAAAATGCTAAAGGCAATAACAGTTTGTTTGTCTTGCTTTAAGGATGGAAGTTATTTCCTCCTTAATTGCTCTTAATATGACCGCATCCTTGTCCCCATTTCAATCCTTATGGACTTGATAGTATCATGGGAAGTCTCAATAGTCTTTTCTGATGTTTTCTACCTTTTTGATGGATAAATAGTTAGAGAGTTGGCATTTGTACTTCCTACATTTAGGTACTTATCTGCTTATGGGAACTTTGAACGATCTTCTTTGCTCTTGACTATTCAACAGGTTGACGTGTTTTCTTTTGGTATTGTCCTGTGGGAGATTCTCACTGGAGAGGAACCTTATGCCAATATGCATTATGGAGCTATTATAGGTCAGCTCTTTACTTTTCCATGTTGAAGTTTTAGCTTCTGTCAAATTGGCGTGTTATGAACTAGGATAGGTCTTAAACCAATTTGTATATCAGCGCAGAAACTACTTTTCTTTTTGGTTGCAAATCAGCATGCTAAGTAGGAAGTTGGATCTTGACTATTATGAGCTGGGTTATAGTGTCTTGAACCAATTTGTATATCCGTCAGTCATCTCTCCGGCAACCATTTGTGCATAAGCTCCTCACTAGCAATTGCTTAGGCGATGCCTCTAGTTATCATTCTAGTGTTCCTATCTCTCCAGCAAACAGCTCTACTTTTGCCCCAAGTTAAACATTGAATGTTTTGTTGTTCTGCCAATTCAAGTTGTGCTAATAACGTTGGGTAGATTTACAAAACCATATTTCTTTTTTATGATTAAGAATTCCTTTCGGTTTATAGTGCAAGAAACACTTTTTTCATTGTGCAGTTATCAATGTCTTTCTTGAAGAAAAAAATTCGCACACTATTTTTCTTTTTGATGATTGTGCGCTATTCCAGCAAGATCTTTTTTTTTTTTTTTT